GCGAGGCTTCTCCCTCCGATGGTGCTGGCCCCAGCAGCCCTTCCGCCCCCTCGGCATATCCTCCCCTGGTTGTGTTCGGCGCTTGATCCGGTGGTGAACCCGCGCCTGGACGGGCGTGCCTTCCCCCCCTTGACTCTCCCCCGCCGCCCGCTGCGGCCACACTACCGGCGGGCGGTGCCTCGGGCACTACTCGAGGCAAGGCATCCATTATCCTCTCCAACTTCTCCTCCATGATTCTCTCCATCCTGCCGCTGATCTCGGCAAGTGCATCCCGGAACTCCTCGCGAGTCGGGGGATCGTCGCCGGCGGATCAAGCGCCGAACACAACCAGGGGAGGATATGCCGAGGGGGCGGAAGGGCTGCTGGGGCCAGCACCATCGGAGGGAGAAGCCTCGCGCGGAAGCGAACGCCACAGGACCGACGGGCACTACTCTTCGGACTCGAGGGCCCGGATCCCGCGTCTGAAGCAGCTGAGCTTCAACGGCCATGAGAAGACCTGGCCCATGTTCAAGAATGACTTCACTACGCACGTGCAAACGTGTGGGATGACTCGGGCGCTGAAAGACAGCCGAGACATTGTGGTGCTAGGGATGGACGATGCCGGTATGGTTGAGCAGGGGGTAGAATATGAGGACATTCCCATGTACCGTGACTTGTGGAGTATGTTGACTGGGTCTATCGTAGACGACACCACCAAGATGATGGTGTACCAGAATAAGGGGCCCTCTGCAGCATGGCGTGCACTTGAGCAGCAGTTTGCGCCGTTGACGGGCGGAGAGCAGATCTCACTTATCGGGAGAGTTTTACACTGCCCGACAGGGGAGGAACCAGGATCCTCGTGTTTTTTACCAGAAATTCATGTCTACCGTGACTGACCTAGAGTTGGCGTTCAAGCAGCCAATCCCCAAGATGCTCACCCTGACAAGATTCATCGATGGGCTTTCCGATGATGATTATGATGTCCAGAAACAAAACCTGCTCAGCGTCAAAGATCTTGATGAAGATGAAATGTTGAGAGTGTTGCGTACGAGGTACAGCTACATCAAAGGGGGTAGGGAATCGAAGGGGAAGGGTGAAGGGCGAGCGAATCAACAAGCGTTCATGACGGTAGGAGGAGCGGTGAAAAAAAAGCGGGGTGGAAAGAAGAAAACGTAGGGGGGACGAAGAGGCATTCGTGGCAAAGTCTATCCGATGTCACGTGTGCTCCGGCAACCACTATGCAAGCGCATGCCCTCGACAGATTTGCCAGAGATGCGGAGGAAAGGGGCACAATGTGAAAGACTGCGCATCGAAAGGTGTAGAGACAGCTGTGCTCGCGTACGCGGGGATGAGCGAGGAGGAGTTGGACGTAGCTCGCGAAGCACTTTGACGTTTTTCTGCAGTCCTTCGTTGTATCTTTGTTTCTTTTGAACAAATGCCCTGACCCCCCCCGCGTCATCCAGCAGGTCAGCCTTTTTACAACCATGTGGTATTTTTATTTTTTCCGGCGCGTTGTCCTTCTGATGTCTATCGCAGATACATAGAGCTGGTACGCACAGAGTTCCCGCTTGAATCGACATGTCGCTCGCTTGGTTTTTTCTGTGCTCATCTCAGTTGACAACCATGCAGGTAGATGCACGTGGCGTCCTTGCATGAAATAAATAATTGATCATGGCATAGCAGTTCCGCTGTTGTCTCATTTCTGGGTTGATGACCTGCGGGGCACCGCGGGCACACCGATTTGATTGATGATGTCGGAATTATTTTCAGCCTGATTTGTTCGGGTGTGCGAAGAAGACGCGCCCCGTTGTACCGAATTTAGGTTGAGTTCTTGCTATGAAGTCAGGGAGGGTTGACGCAGGGCACTGCAGCCCCTCTTTCGTGATGGATGGCGACCAGTGTCTCCCATTGTAGTAGCACCGACAGGTTGGTTGGGCTGTCTGTGGTTGAGATGCTGCTTGATCTTTCATTGATGTATAGGTTGAGGGGGGCACCCTTCCCTACGATGTGACTGATTGCCCTTTTAAATGTTCTTCCGATGTGACGGATCAACAAGGTGTTCGGGGTTGTAGACGAGCTCCAAATGCTAACAGCAACCTGATACAGTAGGGATCCTGTTGCTGGGAGGGGGCTACTTGAAAAGGAGTAGTAAAAAATGTCTGTGACCAGTGTCTCCCGCAGAAGTACCGACAAGTTGGTTGGGCTGTTTGTGGTTGAGATACTGCTTGATCTTCCGGATGGTTGATCACCCTTTTTTGGATGTCATCGAGAGCGATTAGCGTTGGTACACGTTTTTCCGCTGCGGTTTGGCATTATTGGTGCTTGGAGTAGTAGACGCACTCCAGTGCTAACAGCAACCTGATACAGTAGGGATCCTGTTGCTGGGAGGGGGCTGCTCGAAGAGGAGTAGTAATAATGTCTGATGTGTGCAGGCTCGCGGGTTTGCAAGGTGGCTACTGCTGTATGGTTTTGTGTTGACAATTCAAACAGTAGGGCGGAGGGTTTTGATCCGGTAGCCGGGTTTCCCTTCGTTTGCTTTATTTTTGGAGTTTTTATGAGTACCATTGAATCCTTTGGTTTTTCGAGCGTCCGTAACGATGTGCTGAATCAGGGAGGGTGTTCGTGAGGTTGATTATTTCATCATTACGAATACGCTACTGCTGTAGTTACTCATGTATGATGGTTTCTACCATGGAGCTAAAGTGGCAGCAAGGGGCATATATCTTCGGGGTATCTTATGACATGTCTAGAATTCTGTATCTTTGACCTGTTGCATAGTGTTCCGAGTTCTGCGTTTTCTTGCTACTGGTGTGCGGCACGGGAGTTCGCCTCCCGTTGCCACTCTCTCTCCTGTTCCCCTTACGACAAGGGCAACCTAATCAACGACTTTACCATCTTAACATCTCTTCACGCCTACCAACGGCGCAGCCTTGCTCATCCCAGCAGCACTAGGCTTGGGGCAATCAAACATGCACCTCCTTGCGAACTGGCGCACACGTACGATGCCTGAGGGAAGAAGACGTGGGCTGCAAACGCACCATGGCTCCGGAGGTCAATCAATAGTACACAGGTAACAAATCGGCTATCGCAGGGATTTGACAACATCCATCACTGGCATGTACGGGGCCTCACAATCAACGGTAGTCCGGCTATTCACGTTTTCACATACGGAGATACAATCACAGCGATGCCCGCGCTCGCCCCGAGGCTCAAATCTCGAATAGGCATGTTGTGCTTCCGGTCCAACGCCGCTTCAGGACAAAGTGAGCCCTTGCTCAAAAACATATACCCTTGTTGAGGTTCATCTATCATACCCGGACTCTCTGCATAGTTTGTTACCGACTCGCCGCCCATTGACATCAACACCTTGGACATACCAGCGAAATGCACACCTTCAACGTCACTTGCAGGTGCCTGAGTGTTGACGACGGTGCCTAGACGCTCGAGCACCAGCCTTGGCACCGTGCCCTTAACGGCCAGGCAGCCACACCCGTGAGGGGTCGCACCCGGAGCTGCGTCCACGAGTAGAAAGTTCCCAATTTTTGCCTGCGATCAAGCATCATGAGAAAGAAAACCGTGGAGGGGAGGGTGGAACAACTTTCAAAGCGCCAAATAGCCCTTACTAAGGTCACCACGTGGGAGTGGTGGTTCTTGCGAAATGGCGCAATATCACCGTTGGTAATGTGGGGGGCGCAAAAAATAGGTCCCTTCCGCGAAAAAGACAAGGAGTGGTTCGCTGGATACACGATGAGACGAAAGAGTACCGAAGTCCCCACTCACCATGACTAGTAATGGCGCTGCAACATGACAACATGTTCAATAGGGCGATTCTACCAAAATCATGACATATTCTTCGGCGCGGCACTTCCTTTGATGTGATCCGGGTGTGGACTTTGGCGGGTGAAATCCATTTTAGTTTCCTCGGAGGGGCGGGGGGGGCTACGGGAACAGCACATGGCGTGGCGTGGCATGCTGTCTCTTATGTTTCTTCCTCCAGTGACAAACTCCGGAGGGAAATCACCACAAGACTATCTTTCGGAGGGGTCGGAAGACGAGTATGCACGCAGCGTACCCCCGCTCCAGCGATAATCCTCACCCGACTTCTATCGCTATCAAGAAGCGGCAATACCTTGTCCGATGTTGCGAAGTAGATTCGGTTCCTGCGGCATCTCGCACACTGCGGCCAGCCTTCCCACAGTACGCCTGGCCAATCCTTAGAAATGTTCACCACTGACGAGGCCACCCAGCGCAGCGCTTTCCACACCCTGTCGTCCTGGAGGGGCCCAAACATCCTCAGACAGAATCCTCCGCTCGTCGCCGACAGCGTAGTCGTAGCGAATGACAAATGTATACAACGAGTCGGACCCGTCGGACGTGGCCATCGCACGACTCTGGAAGACAGCGCCATATCTCCAGCACAGCCCCATCTCGACGACACCAACGGCATGACACGAGGCGATCACGCGCTCCACCAGCCCGTACGGAGGTCCTGCACCGTCGAATCTCCACATCAGGGTGACCTCCCGATCGCTGTGTCTTCTCATCTGGTATGAGATCAGCTCCTGTAGCTCGTGCTCCGTCCCGCATGTTTCGGGTAGCCGCATGATCACCAACATGTCTTGCCGGCTGATGTTGGGGCGACCAGTTGCATAGGCAGTGGTACTGTCGGGCAACAGGCTAGCCGGTTCGAGAGGAAGAGCGACGCCGAGGTTGACAATCACACGGCAGAGGGCATCCAGCACTTCCTCGGGTATTGGTTTCTTCATCACATCGCTCCAAAGGTGCTCTGCGAACTTCAGTCGGAGTATTCCATTGTGGACAAGCTCATCCCTCATTCCTGCAAGGTCTTGAGGAAACACCTTGTGTAGAAGCTTATGGCTTAGGATGGGCTTCAAGGCGGTTGAGAGCCACACGACATCCAGGAATACACCGTCCCCATTGGCAATGCGAAGGACCTGTCCGGCAAACTCACTGAAACCAGTAGGAAGCAACGAACAGGATTATTACGGGAGTAAGTGATCAGCCACCAAGCACCCATTCTTTGTGAAAGACTTTGCCCGCACCTACTCGCCTTTGTCGTCCTCTTTGTACTCGTCACGCACAGTGTTTTGATTGCGGAGTACAATGGTAGATTGCGCCACCCGGTACACAGCCGAGCAACCTAACCCGACAATATACACGCCATGTCATCCGAAACGAGCGCAAACGAAGCATCAGTAGGCGCTAGAACGTATGCGCCACGTTTCACACCCATAGCCGGTGGCCGTTTCTTAACCTGCACGAACTACACCTGGAAACTGCTGGTGAATAGGACCGAGAGCACAGTCGCAAAGATGATTGTTTTCATTGCGTAACCGACTTGACACTCGTCGACAAGTATATCGATCGCCAGGAACGAAGCAGTCTTCTCTGCACGCCAATTTTCGGCAGGACCTCACCTCAACAAAAGAGCGCCTTCGATCGCGCCATCTGGATCGGACACCGCCATCTTCTCTGCATCCGACCGTAGCTCGCCTTTGACATTCTGCACGACGCGTTTCCATTGCCTGACCAAGGAGTTCTCCGTGAAAAACGAACTTTCAGGCTCCCTGTCAACACCCACCTTGGGACGTGAACCCAGACCTAGATAATCTCGACAACCTTGCTGCGGGTCCCGCGACCCCCTCAGAGCGTCAAGGAAGAGCGAGCCCCCAGGCTGGCGGCACACTCACGGACGCAGCGCTTTGAGCAGCAACTCGGTCGATCATCTCCTCCAAACCACCACCGTCTCGACAACTGACCAAGCTTGGATGTTACAGTACCGTAATGTCCGTCTCCATCCGAGTGCCAGAAAACCCCCGTCCCTTAAGCCACTCCTTGCGCAATACTGTCACCCGCTTCTCGACAATCGCGGCAGTACCCGAGAAGCCTTCAATCGAGCCATCGCACTTGTTCGCCACCAATATCACAGTGGACCCCGGTGCTCGAAGGTCTAGAGCATACAACCACCTCATGATGTCCTGGGATACAACCTGTGCGAACCAACACCCCAGTATTTTGCAAATGGAGGTATCAAATATCGTCATTTCGAGGAAACCACACGCGAAAAGCGAATCGGTCGCATCCGTGTTTACAATATGCGACATGAAATGAAACCGAGAATTGCAGCATAGGAATGATGACAGTGACGAAGGATAGCGGCCAAAATAGCCATGAAACACGTTGACGGTAGTCAGCAGGTGCCCCGTTTCGGCGTGTGTTGGTGGGCCCGGCACGAACTGTAGAATTCGATGAATACGTATGTATTCAGTCTGCAGCATGCTTGTGCAAAGTGAATTGCGTGAGTATCCTGACATTCTAGACCTTGCCCACCTCGTCAAGGTCGTCATCGGTTTTTCCGTGGCATCTCGACACGTCCCAGACCAGGAGGTACAGAGCCCGTCTGGTCAGAAAGGTTTGGTGCAGCCCGTAGTAGTCCACTTGCCCGGCGCAATCGTAGAACTCGACAGTTGTACCCTTCAGGTTGTGGCGGAGTAGTTCAATGCCCACCGTGCTCACTTCCGCAGGTGTCCCAACCGTCGGGAATCCGCGTCCTTCGACGATGCTGTTGACTAAGCTGTAGGCAAACCAACAATATGGAAACACCCACATGGGTTTGGACAGGAATCGGATTCGGAGTTTACCACACACAAATTCGTACATACGGCCCTGAAAAACGTAAGATGACCGTGGGCCGTTACCAGAACCCTTTGTGGGGCGAACGTCTGCAGACCCCTGGTAGTGTGATTGGTGAACGACACGACAAGAGGGCTGTTCTTCTAAACAAACACCGAAAACCTCAATTTCTTCAGTGGTGTTGTTGCACAGTGGAGGCTGCTCGTGCGCGCAGAAAAGCCTTAGGGGGAAACGTTGCCTCGAGAACAACGGGAACAACCAATCATGGCAATTCTCTCCACGGACGGTACCGATGGTGCCGTAATTTTTGGCGTGATGCGTATCGGGCGCAAAACAAATAACAAGGAAAGGACAACCACAGTGACATCGGGAATGACATCGAGAATGCCGCACTTTGTTGGGACATGACGTCTCTTCTGACAATGCTGTGATCATTTCTCCTTTATGCTGAACAAATACCTGGTTTTTCCAGCTTGGGAGGATCCGACCAAGACAACCTTGAGCAGCTTCAGGGTCTTGACCTCCGCACCAGCTTCCTCGGCCCTGCGCACGTCGCGGAGATAGGCCATAACTTCCGGTAGTCCTTTCTCGACTACACCCTCAGGTGGCATGATCCAAGGGTTGCCATTGAGCTTGATGCGGCACTTGCTGAGCCGTGTCAACCATTGCAGCGCATGTCTAGCTTCGCCCAAAGCTGAAAAGAGAACGAGCAGAAGTGGGGGGAATTGCAAGGATATGCGTAACCATGTTCGAAATATTTTCGAGTCAACCTACGTCGCCTTTGCCCCGCCATACCCATCCACAATTCAGGCGGATACACCTTGTATCGATTGATCTTCCAATTGCCGAGGATTGCGCACGTCTTGACGGCAAGATCGCTCACACCTTGCAATCAATGTATTTTCCCCAATAATTCCATTGCCTGTGGCACGAATGTAGTTTGAACACTCCTTTGCAGTTCTAGCATCGTAGAGCCGTCCGTGATTATTGACCACGGTTTCAAAAACCAAATCTGGGTGTGGGATGGGTTTGCCGTATTGGTTGGTGATTACTTACTGGTATCAAATAGTCCCCCGGCATAAGGGCGGATGGAGACGACGCCTAGGACAGGTCATATTTCGATCCTCCTTTCTTTTCGAAACTAAAAATGCCAATGAGATGCACCTCCGCGTCCATACAAAAAAGTGGCATTGAGCAACTGGACTACGACGGATAATATGTACTCGCGGCAGGGGCGGGGTTCCCGGCGTGCTGTAAGGATTATTTCCCAACAATCTCACCATCGTGCCATCGTTCATCGTTTGATTGCACCTTGCCGAGCAACGCCCCCGCGAGGAAACTCATGTATACGCACCTCGAGTGCAGACTCCACGTCCCACTGAGAACATACTCCAATGCGTCCTCAACGCGCGCTACGGAAAATAATAATACCGATGTAAGCACAGCAAGCTAGATGGATTATCCAGTTTTCGAGACCTGGGGTGAGCAAAACTGGAACCTTAGCAAAACCTGCTCGCTCACCCGGACCTGGGCTCATAAGTTAATACTTTGGCGGAGCATGTGATGAGGGTAGGGAACGAATATATATCCGTGAACGAACAACTTGTCATAATCTGCCTACGAAAAAAGAGAAAATTGTCACTTCAGCTTCTTCGGTGGGTGACATAGCCAATACAGTTAGCGTCCGCAACTGAGAAATAAACAGTATTTCAGAAACAAAGGCTCAAGTGTTCACGAAAACGAGTAAAGTAGGGTTAAGAAAAATAGATCAATGTAACCCACACTACTAAAATAGAAACTTTCAACAAGAAAGCAGGTGTGACCGCTACCCCACTACCTAAGAAGCGAGGCGCAGCTGGGGAGTTTGTCCAATAAGAAACATGTAACCCCAACCTGCGACCACTGGTCTTGCTTACCGAGGAGCTTGTTGTTCCTGACATCCAGATCCTGAAGAGCACCGAGTCCACCAAGCTCCGGCGGGATGGCACCTGCCACGAGCACCAGCGACACAACATACCATACGCAGAACACAGGATTAAGCAAGAACTAATACCGCGCCTTTGCCCACGACATCGCCAACACTTTCCGCGCTCTCCAGAAAGGTAGGTCAGCTAAACGTCGGAATAGCATTCACAGCTGTGTACCTCTGGCCAATACTGGCCGTGTGCGACAAACATTTCATGCCAACGCCAATCTCGTCCAGCCATGTGCCAAGGTGGTACATGCCCCGTCACAAAACAACACGTACATGATTGACTCTAAGTTCAGAGAACACCACCTGGGACACGGTCATGCGCGATCATGGCAACCAGCATCAGTTGGCGTTCCACTCAAGGGCCGTGACACAGTGGTTATAGGTGTCATCCACTTTCTGAACGCATCATCGATGCGGCGAGGAACACCACAAAATATAAGTGCGCGAGGCACAATATTCAACCGCATGCATCTGCGAATAGCAGTTCGTCAATCGCACCTCGCACTAATGTAGTGAAAACCTCCTTCGTACTATAATGCATGTCTACGTCGAAAGGTTGGCGACAATCCGTCAGCCTAGACATGTATCATAGCCATCAAACAATAACACAGTCTCATCTACTAGGCGAACAAAGACGTTGCTTGCCCAAGCGCCTGCGTACCGCCACGACCGCATACCACATCCTTCTCGCCACACCTCTGTCATGCACCACCCGATGACTCACCACGACCAACGACAACACCTCAACACAATATCCGCACGCTCTTTGGTGTAGCCATACACGAGGTGTACGAGTACCAAGGACGCGAGCCAACCGGTGACCCCAACCTATGACCGATGCTAACACTGGTCTTGCCTACCGGAGAGCTCGTTGTTGCCAAGATCCAGAAACTCAAGATCACCGAGTCCACCAAGCTCGGGCGGTATGCCACACCTCCGAAAGGATTGCCCACAACCCGAATACACCCAACACTCCAACGACAACCCAAGCCGTCCAACAAGTACGCCACGAGCATGAAAAGACCGTTTGAACTCGTTGGTTCACATGTGAGTCCCCGCATGGCCGTAGCGGAATCGACCGTTTCACAACCTCATCGAGGTGTGCAGTGGACGACGGCCCTACCCATGGTTCCACTACCAAATGCCAGAAGGGGCGGGGCATACCCGTTGTGACATGTGGATTGACTGGATTCGGGGTGTTTTCTTTGCGCTCAAAAACGGGTTCGCTCATGCGGGCTTTTCGTGCTACACTTTGCGACAACCCAACTTTCGTATCGCACCATGAGCCCAGTAGACGACAACTATTACGCCGGTCAACCAAGCATATCCTGCACAGTCTCATGCACTCCAGGCAACAAATTAGGTTGCTGGTCCAAGCGCCTGTGTAGCGCCGCGCCCACATACCACAACCATCTCGCCACGCCTCTGTCATGCACCACCCGATGACTCACCACGACTAACGACAACGCCTCAAGACAACGTCCGCACGCTTTTTCGCGTCGCCAAACACGAGGTGTACGAGTACCAAGGACGCGAGCCAACCCGTGAACACAACCTGTGACCGATGCGAACACTGGTCTTGCTTACGGGAGAGCTTGTTGCCGCGAAGATCCAGCTCCTCAAGAGCACCGAGTCTACCAAGCTCCGGCGGTATGCCACCTGCAAACAACACCAGCAAGAATAACACACCGCCATACACGGATCACAGCATCAGCAACAATCACCCGGCTGCAAGACCAGCGTGAGGCTTGCATATGCGCGGTAGACGACAAAATGAACGAGTTGGTGACCGAATACGCGCCAACTCCTCTGAACAAATACAGAGAGACCGAACAGGGGGGCAGGAGCGAAGGTACGAATTGTCCGTTTCGCCGGAGGCTAGGCTTGACACCTCCACAAGGAACGCCCACAACTCGAACACACCCAACTCTCCAACGACAGCGCAAGTCGTCCAATAACTACGCCACGAGCATGAAAAGACCTTTTGAACTCGTTGGTTCACATGTGAGTCCCCGCATGGCAGTAGCGGAATCGACCGTTTCACGACCTCATCGAGGTGTGCAGTGGACGACGGCCCTAGACATGGCTCGACTACCAAATGCCAGAAAGGGCGGGGCATACCCGTTGTGACATGGATCAACTGGATTCGAGGTGTTTTCCTTGCGTTCACGGACGGGTTCGCTCATGCGGGCTTTTCGTGCTACACTTCGCGACAACCCAACTTTCGTATCGCACCATGAGCCCAGTAGACGACAACTAATACGCCGGTCAACCAATCAGCTGCTTGATGGAAATACGCCAGTCAACACAGCAGCTGCTGGATCTATCAAAACTGCAGAAACAGAATGTCCACGCTGCCAACCTAGCAAAAAAGGGCTGCGAAAGCATCAACCAATCAAAACAACACTTGCTCGCTATTACACTCACCGGTTAGGCCGTTATACGAAAGGTCCAGCTGCTTCACGGCCCCCAGTTGGCCTAGTTGCGACGGAATCGCGCCTGCATGTAACCAACACGACAGGCGCACAAGTCGTTTGGACCACGTAAACCTGCACACCATCGCAAATGGTCCGCTGTCCTGCACAAGTAATGGTATATCAGTTAATTCACGAGTGTACAGCGTTCGGCGAATTAGGTGCACCCTACCCATCTTGGCTTCGGTTCCAAATCCCCACATCTACGTGCCTACCCACCTAATGAGAGACAGCCACTTGCCCTTCCCCACGACATCGCCAACACTTTCCGCGCCCTCCAGAAAGGAAGGCCAGCTAAACGTTGAAACAGCATTCACAACTGTGGACCTCTGGCCAATACTGGCCGTGCGCGACAAACATTTCCTGCCAACGCCAATCTCGTCCAGCCGTGTGCCAAGGTGTTTCACAAACCAACACGCCCATGATTGACTCCAAGTTCAGAGAACACCACCAGGGGCACGGTCATGCGCGATCATGGCAACCAACATCACTTGCCAAACTTTGGCGTGCGACTCGAGGGCCGTCACACAAATGGCGTGTCGGGTTTCATCCACTTTCCGATCGCATCATCCAAGAGGCGAGCAACACCACAAAATATTAGTGCCGCAGGAACAATGTCCAACCGCATGTATCTGTGCACAGTTCGTGGATGTCCCCTGACACTCATGTCGTGGCACCCTTCTTCTTCCCACCACAATGCATTTTGAGGTCGAAAGGTTAGGGACCACTTGTTAGCCTCGACAAGTATCGCAGGCACCAAGCACATCCTGCACAGTCTCATGCACTCCTGGCAACGAACTAGGTTGCTTGTCCAAGCGCCTGTGTAGCGCCACGCCCACATACTACATCTCGCCACGCCTCTGTCATGCACCACCCGATGACTCACCACGACCAACGACAACGCCTCAAGACAACGTCCGCACGCTTTTTCGCGTCGCCAAACACGAGGTGTACGAGTACCAAGGACGCGAGCCAACCCGTGAACACAACCTGTGACCGATGCGAACACTGGTCTTGCTTACCGGAGAGCTTGTTGACGCCAAGATTTAGCTCCTCAAGAGCACCGAGTCTACCAAGCTCCGGCGGTATGCCACCTGCAAACAACACCAGCAAGAATAACACACCGCCATACACGGATCACAGCATCAGCAACAATCACCTGGCCGCAAGACCAGCGTGAGGCTTGCATATGCGCGGTAGACGACAAAATGAACGAGTTGGTGACCGAATACGCGCCAACTCCTCTGAACAAATACAGAGAGACCCCACAGGGGGACGGGAGCGAAGGTACGAATTGTCCGTTTCGCCGGAGGCTAGGCTTGACACCTCCACAAGGAACGCCCACAACTCGAACACACCCAACTCTCCAACGACATCGCCAGTCGTCCAATAACTACGCCACGAGCATGAAAAGACCTTTTGAACTCGTTGGTTCACATGTGAGCCCCCGCATGGTTGTAGCGGAATCGACATGATCACAACCTCATCGAGGTGTGCAGTGGACGACGGCCCTACCCATGGCTCCACTACCAAATGCCAGAAAGGGTGGGGCATACCCGTTGTGACATGTGGATCAACTGGATACAGCGTGTTTTCCTTGCGTTCACGGACGGGTTCGCTCATGCGGGCTTTTCGTGCTACACTTCGCGACAACCCAACTTTCGTATCGCACCATGAGCCCAGTAGACGACAACTAATACGCCGGTCAACCAATCAGCTGCTTGATGGAAATACGCCAGTCAACACAGCAGCTGCTGGATCTATCAAAACTGCAGAAACAGAATGTCCACGCTGCCAACCTAGCAAAAAAGGGCTGCGAAAGCATCAACCAATCAAAATAACACTTGCTCGCTATTACACTCACCGGTTAGGCCGTTATACGAAAGGAGTAGCTACTTCACGGCCCCCAGTTGGCCTAGTTGCGACGGAATCGCGCCTGCATGTAACCAACACGACAGGCGCACAAGTCGTTTGGACCACGTAAACCTGCACCTCATCGCAAATGGTCCGCTGTCCTGCACAAGTAATGGTATATCAGTTAATTCACGATTGTACAGCGTTCGGCGAATTAGGTGCACCCTACCCATCTTGGCTTCGGTTCCAAATCCCCACATCTAGGTGCCTACCCACCTAATGAGAGACAGCCACTTGCGTCGCCAATACTTTCCGCGCCCTCCAGAAAGGAAGGCCAGCTAAACGTTGAAACAGCATTCACAACTGTGGACCGCTGGCCAATACTGGCCGTGCGCGACAAACATTTCATGCCAACGCCAATCTCGTCCAGCCATGTGCCAAGGTGTCTCACAAAACAACACGCCCATGATTGACTCCAAGTTCAGAGAACACCACCAGGGGCACGGTCATGCGCGATCATGGCAACCAGCATCACTTGCCAAACTTTGGCGTTCCACTCAAGGGCCGTCACACAATTGGCGTGTCGGGTTTCATCCACTTTCCGATCGCATCATCCAAGAGGCGAGCAACACCACAAACCATTTGCGCCGCAGGAACAATGTCCAACCGCATGTATCTGTGCACAGTTCGTGGATGTCCCCTGACACTCATGTCGTGGCACCCTTTTTCTTAACACAATTCATTTTGAGGTCGACAAGTTCGCGACAACTTTTAGCCTAGAGAATCGCAGGCACCAAGCATGTCCTGCACAATCTCATCGACTCCAGGCAACGAGTTAGGTTGCTTGTCCAAGCGCCTCCGGAGCACCAGGCCCAAAAACCACATCCACCTCGCCACGCCTCTGTCATGCACCACCCGATGACTCACCACGACCAACGACAACGCCTCAAGACAATGTCCACCCCGTCTTTGGCGTTGGCCACACATGAGGTGCACAACCGCCAAGGATGCGAGCCAACCTGTGACCCAACATCCGATCACCGGGCTTGCTTACCGGAGAGATTGTTGCCGCCAAGATTCAGCTCCTCAAGAGCACCGAGTCCACCGAGCTCCGGCGGTATGCCACCTGCAAGCAACATCAGCAAGAACAACACACAACACCATACACGGATCACAGCATCAGCAACAATTGAAGCGTCCGCAAGACCAGTGTTAGGTTTGCATATGCGCGATAGACGGCATGTGAACGAGTTGACAACCGATTACCCACAACTCCTCTGAAGCAGTAGAGGGAACATGAAGGGTGCAGAGCAACAATCGCGCATCGTCCCTTCACAGGGGTCTACGCATCGTGACACCTCCACACGGAAGGGTTACAAGACGATGACTCGTGATACTCCAAAAAGATCGCACAACGTCCAGAACAATAAGCCAAGAGCATACAATCGTTTAGTCATACCCCAGCAACGAACGATGTGCACACTCGTAACAACTTACCACCTTACCCGAATATAAACAAGTGCATAAAACCACGAGGACTATTGTTGGGCAAAATGTACGCGGTCATTCACTCCAGGTGCGCCTAGGAGACGGTTACAACAACATCTTTCACCAAACGCGGTACTAGTGAACGAACGGGGCATCGTTTGTGGAATCCACACCAACCGCTAAACGCCACGTCTGCATGATTCGGGAACGCTGATACCACCATAAGCAGATCCCAGTAAATTACTATTGAGTGCCCATGGAACCTAGAGAGAAAAACGAATGTGCTGCAGCCCATGAGATAGTCGATACAAACTTCGTGTGAGTCGTGCACGTTCTCTCCGGTCTTACCAGTGACGTTGTTGCCGGTGGGAATGTCAAAATCATCCTTTTCTCCATGCAGCTCCAACTTCACCACTCGACCTTCTGCGTTCGACATGACCCCGTACCAGCTGCCGAGGTCGTCCGCATTCTCCGCCCAGCCCTCTTGATGTGTCCACGATTCCCCGCCCGTTGATCGGAAAAAGTGAAGGAGCACTTCGCGATCTGTCTCCGCCGAGCCTGTTCAAGGCGATCAGCAGCACATCGTCATGTATGTCAACGTGAGTGACAACGTAAATCGTACGGTGCTTCTGCACGGGCATGAGGCATAAACATTGAGTCAAACAGAGAGCGAACAAAGAGCTCAACCACTTGACGACCCCAAGCAGGTCACATTGTTTTCGAGGTCCTGTTCGGTCGTCTGTGGGAATACATACATACCCAACACAGCTTTACCAGAGCAAGGAAGTGTTTGTAGTTCGAAATGGTTCACCTGCTGCGGCCAGCGGAGCTGCTGCTGATGCCATCGGTGTCTGACTCGTGCTTGCCATGGCTCTGTTGAGGAAGGTAAGACAGAGAGGCAAATGTCAATCCGGGAAGACAAAATACACACAAATACGGTTCTTGTTCATGCCGAAACGCTGCCCCCCAACAATGCGCCGGAAGCGGCAGTGTTTGTTGTGTCACGAGCTGTACGCACATGTTGCTGCATCGTTCAAAGGGGAGATTTACGTAAGTTCCCTCGGAAAGTCGGCCATATTTTGGTTCGGATAGGAGAAAATGTCACAAACAAAACGAAAACGTGCGCATTACGCGAAGTTACAAGAAGGAAAGCCCAACTGCAGGCTGGAGTAATGGAATTGCATGGGTGGGATGGTTGATCCGAAAGGGCATCCTCCCCAAATACGAACAGGGTTGAACGGGGTGCTCGAACCGGGGGTGACTCGTGCAGGATCACTTGCGCTTCATCAATACTGGCCAGCAAAGCCACACAAACAAATTAGGTACGATGTGCAGGGAAAGGAAAATCTCCAATCGTCCACACACACAAGGATACACACGAACACGCATGTATGTCTCTCGAGGAAACCCGTTGAATATGACTGACACCGACGGTAGGGTGATTCCACCGACGATACTCGCAAGCAAGAGAGGGGCAACGATCTGCTATAGAAGAAACGTCCGGGCAAGGTGCAGGAGCAAGGTGCAGGAGCAACGTGCAGGAGCTGTAGAACCTGCAGCGAGCCGTCCTAGGAAAGAGATAAAATGAGGCGGAGTCCGGCAGCACAAAGGTGGGCGCTGTCGTCACGGGCGGAGGGGCCGCATCCAGACGAGAGTTTCACGCCGCCCGTAACACGAAGCCAAGAGGGAGGCAACACCACACCGGGAACCAGCCGTGTAGCACCAAGGATCCCTGCGGGAGGAGGCCCGGAGACAAGACCGGCCAGCGGAGACGTCAGGGGCTCATTGCCGCAACGTGTGTGATTCCTATAGCCAATACGTGTTGGTGGTGGTCTTGTTGGTTCAGCGGACAAGAAGACGGGTTTTCTTGAACCCCTTACCACAATGTGTGAATCAGGAAACGCGTCGTGTCTTGATCAATCTGTGATGAAAATTGCTCTTAAATGGACGATTTGAAGGGGGCACAGCGAGTCACTTACCTGTCAGGGACTTGAGAAACCCGAAAGCTTCTTTCTGGCAGAGGGCTATACCTAGGACGAAATCCACCGGAATGTCCAGGCGCTTCTTTCCACGACGTTTCTTGGGCTCTACAGCGAAAGACTCCGGCAAAGCTATCCCCGCCAGATGAGTGACGGCGAAAAATACTCTGAAGGACTAGGCCGGGTACAAGACCCACCATCGCGGACAGCGAAGACAGGGGTTGTTCAACAATGTTCAAAAAACTTATTGACTTGTCGATACCTGTCGACAAGACCCCAACCGAGTCGCTGGTCGTGGTGGAGCAATTTGCCGACCGCCTAAATGAAAACGGATCCAAGAGATGTCCGTTTCCGTCTCTCACCTCCTCTCTGCCCTACGGCCCGAGAAAAACACATGGCCAATTTACCTTGCAGTCCGCGCGGACCCTGGATCGAGGGGACAATCATCCGTGTTGCGGGTTCGCAGCACGCCAACCTCAAACAGGTGAAGGATCAGCGGCACGGTCATCGCCATCATCATAAGACCGAACAGGCTTTCCTCGCGAAAATGGCAAACGTGGCGAGCGGCAAGCTGGTAGCAACCTGGCCACGGACCCTGACGCCACGGCGGCAACCGACGATTGCAATGACTTGCAACGGTGGTGGTAAAGGCGGCAACGGCAACGGCAACGGCAACGATGTCTGCGACGGAGAAGGCCGCGGAGGTGGCGGCCGACGTAAGGGGGGAGGTAAACCATTGTTGCCGGTGCGACGAAGCGGGGATACCGGTTGGCCTAGGGCAAACCTCCCGAAAGCGACACATCACCTTATCCGATAACTCTTGAGGGTTTGCACTCGACAAGAGCATTTGCACATCGGAGCAGGCAACCTTAGCAATCGAGGTGGCGCCCGGCGACTACGAGCTGGACGTGGAGGCAGAGGCTTCTTAGTGGTAGCCGCGGGTATGACTTGACGAGATATGTACGGCACGGCAGCGGAGCCATGGTCTTCTCGGGGGGGGCGCATGAAGTCGTGTGTGTCACCGCGCGCATTCCATCACAGGGTGGCTGGTGGAGCATTGGAGATTAGCAAAAGGGTTGCTGTAATTCAGCCCCGCCTGGTGCGGGGGGCGTGAAATGCAAGTCGAGAGCTGCCGCGGGCACGCCACCCACGACAGCAGTATCGTATCAGCAGATGGCGGAGATGGCCCCCACAGGAGCAACGGGAGAAGGTGGATTCAAAAGGGCATATGGCGGAATGGGCGTGCGCCCTTAGGCACGTAGGAAGGGGCGTGGGGGTGGGGCATCATGCGACCCCTATCCACTTCGGAAGGGGCATGGGGTAGGGCGACATGCCGCCCGAACCGCGTCCTAAGGAGCGTGGGGGGAGGGGGCAACGTGCAGCGTGGCCTTGCAGCGGGCACTCTCTTGACTGTATTTGGTTGAATCTATAGTTTCGTAGCGATTTTGTAAAAACCTCGTTGATTGCGGCACCAGGAGAGATGTTCACGTGTTCACATCCGCATGTTCGATGTTTTCCCACTAGTTCAGTTAAGACCTCAAGACCTCGGGATTGCGATACATGCGTATAGGTCGACTAAAAAGTCTAGCACCGCCTCTTTCCCCGCTGCAGGTCTGCTGGTGTGCAGCGCCAAAACCCGTACATGGTGCCATCAAAATCAGACGTTTTACTGTGTGACGCCAATGCGAGGGAATCGCCCTCCACGGATGTTGAGGAAGAGTCACCCTTGAAGATCATCACACACGTTCGCTTTTCTCAGGGTGTTGTAGATGTTTTTGAAAACCCTTCTATCACTCTCTGTGAAACAACAATCTGTTTTAGAAAGCAAACAAAAAATAAGAGAAAGACTACCCGACAATGCCCCAACCGAAGGGACGAGTCGATGCTGATTTAAAGCCGCCTGACTCATTATGCACAGGTTCGACAGGCACGAAACGGGCAGAGGGTGTAGGTTGTCAGAGCCCACGGCAGTTTCGGTGAGAAAGGAAAGCGTTACTCACACGAGACGATCGCCGAAGTTCTACGGGGTGTGCCGATTCACTTAGCAGCGGAACAATAAAAGCGTGTACACAACGCAGGGTATACGGTCTGCTGCCATGTTGTTCTTGTACAAGCATGATGTGCACCAAAACACATGGCTGTAGCCTGTCCGCGCAGAAAAATTGGTGCTGTCGCGAAATTGGGGGGGCGGGCGGTGGGCCTTCTTCGCTTTCAAAGACCGTCTGACGTGGGAAGGCCCCCACGTTCGGAGGCCTTAAAAAAGGAAGAGCAAGGTGAGGCTTTTTGTGATTTTCAGTCATCAGCGACCCCCGTGCGATAATCGAAGTAAATCACTACGTTCTTGTTTTTTTATCGCACGGTGGTGCGATGTGGCAAATTGTTGGGGTATAATTTTTGTATGTTGTCTTTGTCTTGGGGGTATTTATTATTGTATTCAGTTTTTTTGAGGACCCAACTGAATTTGATGAATAGGGGAAACAAATTTACACCTCCTGATGGGATGTTGCGGACAGTTCCAGAGCTGGGTGCATGGGCAAATAGCCTCCCCGCCTGAGGCCTCTCTCTATCTGTCTAAAATCCCGATACCCCCATTATCGACGGGGACAACGATAAGAGATTTTGTCTTGGACACCTTTTGCAGGAGCTTCGTGTCCTGGGCGCAAGAGGGGTTTTTGAAGATACTCCTCTAGACGTCGTAGCTCTAGGTTGCCCGGCGGCCGTTTAAATCGGTGGGTGAGATGCTTCTTTTGCGCTTGCCCCCCTCAGTATTGCTTGGCCTTTTTTTTTATTACTGCCCGGGACCAGTGTCCCCAAAAATCAGAACGCCTTGCGAACCATCACCAAACAACAGGGCCACACTACACGCCTCAATTGGCACTCTGTTGTTGTTAGAAGTCTCAACCAATAGACCTTTAACCCCAGGTGCCACTTCGAGGGTGCCAGCTGCAGGTGCGAGACACAAGGATTGTCCGTTGGTATTGTCGCCGGACCTCCCCCGTCAGATGATACCAGGCCCCAAACATCTCTCCTCTCTGTTTTGCTATCGTTTTCGTTTTTTTCTCTCCCGACTTGCCGCGACCACCACCCTTGCGGTGTATTTGGATTGTGGAGCCCCTGGCGAACATCCTCTTGGAAGTAGAGACCGAAGAGGGCCCAGATCCACGTTTCATGTTTGCCGATATCTGCATCCAGAAAGGACGAACCCTTCATGTTGTGGATGCCACAGAACGACAACAACACCAGCTTGGGTGTTCACCGATTGATTCAAGTCGCACGGCCCAGCGTCAGATGCTGAGGCGTCTTCCAAATCTGTTTGTTCAACCAGATCTGCCTCCAAGTCAGCGTGTCGTGTGACCCTCGTCACAAGCACAGTCTGCTAAACAATGGCGGAAAACTGGTAAACAGCGTCTAGAATGATGTGTAAGTACTGTGTGGTCTTATTTCAGCAGCCCACGTAGACCCAGGGTGGCGCCAGGTGGGTGTAAGTGCGCCAAACCGTTTGCCCGGGGACGATATGGGAAAATTCCCGCATCGGAAAAAAGCCTGATTTCTGGGTCAGTACTTTTCCAACGCTGTTTTCCCTACCCAGAACGCCGCACGCCTTCATTTCCCTTCGTCTCTTCACGGAAGGACTTGTTGTCAGGACTAAAGCTACTCGAAGGTCCCGTCATACGTGACGGTGGTGGGCTTTAGTGGCGGTGGTGTCGGAAAAGCCCGAAAAATATACACTCACGGTAAAAAAAAATCCCGGCAAAACAACATAGCCTGGAGCCTGGAGGCGCTTCCACCCAAGCACCAAAGATCGATGCGGCGCAACTCCGCGGTTGAACCTGCGGGATCGTTGCGTTTCTCCTTTCTCCCTGTCATTTTCAACTCCTGTCTACATATATATACAGCAGTAGCAACCCCCCACAGACTATAATGCTTCCCGCATAACCCGGCAGCCTTGTTGAGGAGTTCAAGGGTGAAGCAACCAATGTCATTCTTCACCAGGTAGAACAAGCGAAGATGATTAGGGACAAAAGTTCCTCGAAGGTCTACATTTCTTCACCTGTTGCTGTAGTTGCAGAGGGCCGTTACCGAGAATAGACTCTCTGCTGCGTTCAAGAGGGCCCCACATCAGACGTAGATATGTCCGCAACACAGTTGGTGGTCCCGATATAGCAGGGTCGAAGGCCGTTGGCACACTGCAATTCTACACGGGGGCGCATGCTGTGTGGACTGTGCCTTTTACCAGAAAGGAGTGGCATCGCGTGCGGAACAATCCTTCTACAGCAGTACTGCGCTCTGCACCTCTGCAAGATGCTGCACACGGGCATGTGGTGATGTGCATCAGCTGGTCTCTACAAGGAGAGGCCCGATGTGTTAGTAAATCGGCGAGTCCACCCCGTGCTGGCTAAACAGCAATGGCTCTTGAACTACCTATGGGACTGCTGTACAGCAGCAGTGCTGTCACCCGCACCCTTAGATGCCAGGTGAGAAGTGACCCGTTCGTCCGCAAATAAATGCTGTGACAAGAAGCACTAAAAGTTCAACTCGGGCAAGCAAATTGGGCCCACAGCAGTCCTCCACCCCACCCTAGCACCACATAGTAACAGCAGCTCTTTCCAACGGCGGTGTCGAACCAATTCAAGAAATGCACAAAACGTGACTCGGATGTCGCGACGGTACGTCCACATGTCCATATGCATACGTGCTCTCGTGCCACTTCCCTTGTTACATTGAACCGACAGGTCTGGGCTGCGGGAGTCGAGAGAAGAACCGGTCGAGAATATGGAGCCGACAGAACAGATCTGAATATTGTAGCTAGATTAATTAATATGCATGCATAGGTCTAAAATATGCTCTCACACACCTCGAAGAGAAGAAGTCAGTTGGGCCTGCAGATGGACAAACAACCACGCCACAGGTGAGAGAAGAACTTGTTCGTGTGTTTGTCGCCGTGCAGGTCCTCTTTATTTCTATCCGCACGTGCGTGCGAAAAAAAAAAAAGTCTCGAGATCAAACCGCTTCCACTGCAGTAGAAACCCATCTGAACACAGGCGGCGGCGGTCCGCGCGGAGGTGGATTCGCAGCACCTCTCCACACTATCGCACTGGCGACACATTGGATAGACTGCTGTAGAGGGCGATAGAAAGGTGAAATCGTTCATTTTCCCAGAAAGGTATGTAACTACGGTTCAGATCATGACAGGGTGCACCTTATATCTCCAATTGCACACGGTATAGTCTACAGCCTGTGGGAACCGTTCGTACAAGCCGTAACGGTGAAAAAAAACGGTTAGACTTCAGAGTAATTAAGGAATAATAAAAACACACACAGAAAGACTACCCATTCGAGATATACCCACAGAGTACACATAGTCTAGAGGGTTCATTCCAAGATGACGAACGACTTCGGACGCGTACCAACCTCTAGGCGAGGCCAGCGTACTGCTTTCTGTTGGTATCGTAGTCTATAACTTAGCTCATGTGCCTACCTACTGCAAGGGTTTGGGGCGAGTAAAGGTGCTAGAGAGAGGGGATATAAGCATGGCGTGCAGTCAGTGTTGCGACGTTTGTGAGCGAAACAAGGCCTCTGGTTTGTCTTCTTGCACGCGTGTGAACCACTCGGTTGTTACACTCTAAGGCGCAAGGTTCCATCATATGTTACAGAGCCAGGTATATACATAGTCTGCAACTAAAAGGAAAGGAGGTTCGGTCAGCCCTCAAGAGCCAGTCAAGAGCATGACCATATCTTTCGAAGTTCAAATTTCAAATTGTGTCGAAATGTACTCGCTTCTACATGTAGGAAGATCGGGCGTAAAGTGCCACACCCCTCTGGGTGTTCTTGTACCCGCGATAAGTTTCCGCACAAAAAAAGTCTTCCGGATCTTCGTAGCTCTCTCAATATACAACCCAGCGGCTGTGTCTGATTGTTGAACTGCAGGACTAGTCTACAGCAGTTCGCTGATCCTACTGAGTTGAAGATAGACAGCACCCCAAAGCACCCTTCCCCCCGGAGAAACTGCCAGTCCACAATAAAATACAGATGTTCCGTGTTGTACGCAATGTTAAGCGCGTGGCCGTAACAGTTGCCCGGGATGTTTGTTTGCTTACGAATCGGAGCGGCCACGCAACGACCGGGTTGTGGGCGTATTCCCAAACACCAAGTATACCTTTGCTTCTGTGCGTTCGCTTTCATGAACGTTGGGTGGTGTCCATGGGTCCATGAACGTGGGCCTTCCTTTCAGTCCAGGGCGCTCACTCTCTTGCAAGAGTTTCGTGATCGACTTCGCAATGAAGACCAACATGTTCGCGTAAAACATGTTCTGAATCACTCAATCACTCAACCTCAAACACAAAAGCGGCGGGCATTCGGGTGCTCGGTCCCCTCGAGACTTTGGCACAGCCCTCGAAGGTGGTTGGAACGGATTGCGACAGTCGCATAAATTCCTAGAGCAGCTTTCGTCAGCGTATCGGTTCGCCATTGACGAACATCACCCGTAGTTAGGCTCCAAACTGGTGCCCTCCCTTGCCCCAGACAAAACTCAATGCCCAAACACCCAGCCTGTACGACACCCTAGACCCTACAAAGCACGCGGGGGAAGGAAGGGGAGGGAGGCTAAATATCGATCTCTACCAACGAATGTTTCGATTTTACCCCGACCCACCCGCCAACAGACGTCTCCGTTTCCAATGATCGTGGGTGGTGGCCGGGAGCCGCGTCTCTTGTCGTTGTACTCCACAGTGATGCTGTTGAAGAACGTAGTACAGGTGCCGCAGAAGCCCTTCCTCGTTTGAATGGTGAACATCCCTGTCTACGGGCCTCTATCGATAGGGAATTCTTTCGGCAGGAATCCCTAGAGCCGAACGAACGGCTCGATCCTCGGACGCCGGAATACACACAAACGTGTCCTGAATCACAGCACCTTTTCTCGCCTCCGAGCCGAACGAGAATTCTCCACTGCGGACGAGAACTTCATGGCGGCCTCTGCCACCACGAGAACACGTCATCAATCGCAGGGTACGGAGTTTCTTCGGTCAACTATTGCATTTTCGAACCAACGCGGCAGCCCGATTTTCGCGGGGGGGCAGGTCCCCTCTCCTCTCTCAACCAACGGTAGCATTCACGTTGTAACAGCTTTTTTGTACGGTTGTGAAAATACAGAGGTAGGCAATTGGTTGTTAGCAGCGTCGGCAGCCTGAACGAAAACCACCGTCTCTGGCGTGGCATTGTACGCCTTTCCCTGAGCTGCTTCGATGGCCCATATGGGCTACTATGGTGTCGATGGCACACCTTCCACGTGCCGTGAGACGAAAGCAGCCAAGGGCCATGGCGGACAGGCCCACAAACTATGACCCAAGCTTGCAGGTCGCGATGGTATTGGGCAAGCGCCTGAATGAAACCGATGTTAGCACAGGCACATTCACCGTAGACTACACCGACTCTCTTCTGGATTTGCATGGTTCACCTGATTGCCTCTGACAAGCCCGAGTTTATCCGAAGGCCCTCGGCCAAGAAACGTCTCATGCCGTCTTCGTCACGCCAGAAGAAAGCCTCCCTGACCGAAAAACGGCATTACACCAAGCCGGTGGAGAGTGAGAATGAGATGGTTCATATCGCAATCTTTCTGAAGGATTCATTTCAAAATTCTTCGATTGCGGGAGCTGCCGGACTCCTTGCAGTGGTGTTTTTCGACTCATCGTTGAGAGTCCTCTCTCTGTTCCTTTAGGTAACCTTTCGCCTCGCCTTAGGGGAAGTCGCACACACCCAGAGAGCCTGTGAGAAGCATCGCACGTGCTACGCAACGCACAGTTTCGTTGTCTAGATGGACTCTTCTCTCACCGATTACCGTTCGGCGGCGAGCTCCGGCTTCCTGGTCTCTCCCAGCGAGGGTCCCACCTGTTGTCGAGGGATAAACAAACAGCAAATCTACTGCTGTACATACATGGTGCAGAAAATACACAAAATGCACGCCCCGAAGAAGCGTGCACGGGCGACTTCATTCGCGCGCGCATATCCTTGAATTAAAGCTCGTCAGAATGTCACCTTGTTTCGAGCAATGCCCCGACAAGGTTGCGTTTCTCGCCGGAATATACCTGTTTCCCACCGACGGTCATTGGCAGAAGTTTCTTGGCCAGCAAGGGGTGGCCGGATGTCGGATTTCTTACGATACTTGCAAGTCCCCCCCGTGCACAGCTAGGAGATACACCACATTACGTACGAGAGAGGTCGTTGACCGTCGACACCGTTCAATGGAGGTAGCAACTGGTTTCCCACAGTTTCCGATGCAAAGCCTGGGGCGAACTGCGTGCAGAGGCGTGCATATGACGGACGCTACAGGCTTCCGAGTTGTTGTGCCCCACCCACTCTACGGAACACTATCAAAAACATGGCGAAAGTGAAAGGGTCTTCGCATACCCCACCTTATCTCTACATTGTCACAATGGCAGCAAGGACCAGCTTACAGGACACCAACTCACAACTCAGCGCAGCTATGGAGCCATGAGTAGTCGAGCGAGTCCCCCAAGGGCCAGATGCTGCAAGCCGTGCCCCAAGCAGCGGCCGCCTCCTTGTTGGAAACCATGATATGTGCGTTGGATGGCCTGTTCGCCCGCGCGGAACCGTGCGTTGTTGATTTCAAGTAATTTACTATTTATTGTCGTGGCCGTGTATTACAGCTGTAGTTCTGCGCGACCGAACAAACAGAGTGGGCGTGCAAAATTCTCCAACAAAATAGGGGTCTTTGAGCATGACGAGCGAAACAGCTTTCTTCGCTTGTGGGCAAACGCAGACCCCTACCGCCAGTAGCACCAGGAAAAAACGGGTGTGGTGCACGCAGCAAGCCTACCTTGTGAACCACGTTCTTGCCGGCAATTCTCGCTGCAACGCTCTAAGTGTGCAGCCAAAACTGTAGACAACAAGAAAGTACTTTCTCTGCAGGTGTATTATCCTGCATGGTAGTCCAGTAAGGACCGCCAACGACAAGTATAGAGGGAGCCCGATGCGACCTAAACATAGAACATGCACCTCGCAGGAGCCTGGAAGTCCTTGTCCATGATAGCATCTGCAGCTCGAAAGTACTCAGCTGCAACAGCACTCCCGTATGTCTCTGTTTCCGGTGAGGGGTCGTGGCAGTGATCGGAGCGGGCAGGCCGTGGGTCGCGTAAGGGTCGGAGCACAAAAAGTAAGCTCCGTTGATCATCACCCGCAGAAGAAACACGAATACTGTACCGTTCGGGCGAAGTGCTCACACACGAGGAGACACACCACCGTGTTCGCTATGGTCGGCCCCGTCAACATAACCGACACGGATGTCCTGTATCACCGAACAGACATCCTGCATGGACGAAGCAAGCCCGCCAGGCGAAACGCGAGGCAGAGCTATGGCCCACACACATCCGTCGGACAACTCTTGGGCATGCCAGTATCTCGCATCCCCGTGAGAACGGAACTACTTTGGCCTTCGAACGACGAGCAAATAGTTCCCTGATCAACACACAAATCAAAGCTAGATAAAAACAGAATATCAAACTAGCTGCTAAGAATCCAACTGCACCTCCCCCTCGGCGAGGTAGAACGAGAACCGAGCACCCACCCGCGTCCAACAAGTCCGGTTTCTCCGTAACCGCTCTAGGTCCACCTCCTTTGCCACCGCCTCCCAACGACAATGCCTCCCCTCGGTACAGGAGCCCGCTTGATCGCCGCACAATATCCAGCAACGGTCGCTACCGTCACACATGAAGAATACGTTCATGTGCGAGGCGCACAGCAGGCGGAAAACGCCCCCGTTCGAGGCAAAAGGCAAAGGGTGTGGTGTTTGGTTTGGATGGATGATAAACAACTACATCCCCAGCACATTCTTCGTTTCACTTGTATGCTACCTGCGAGTAAGGGTGTTCCCTATTGGCAGCTGTTTCATGGTGAACAGAAATCCAGCTCACCACTCTACGCTAGCTAGTGTCACACGGCCTCGAACCCTGAGACGTCAACGCGGTGGTTAAGCAAGTTGGCGATCGACCATGAGAAGGAACAACTGCTCAAACGCGCAACGTGCTGATGTGGCGCCGGTGTTTGCGTCCTGGACAGGCAGGCGCGGCGTAGTATTTGCACTGGTTGTGTTGAGGATTCCGCGTCAGCTGTGTGCCTCTAACGGCTGTGTGTAGAGGTATCACTGACATGAATACATGTACACGTATCGCTACATGCGCGTGTGAAGAGGAGACCAGAGACAAATCGGAGATTGTAGGCTACATTGGCAAAAACAAACATTTGGTAGCATTTGACGACCAAGATGCTAAAGACAGAAACCTACAAACACCGGAGAACACCATCCAAATTTGAAACAATCAAGCCGCCCCAGCCGGCACACACACACGTACCCCGTGCGCACGAACCAAAGCCAGCGCCGAAGGTAGTTCCAGTTCCACAACCATCTCTCGCGCCCTCGTCGCGCTGCTGCAGTCGTCGCTCGATGCTGGACATCTCGTCAGCGCATCCGCGAAAGCTGCGTACGCCGCCGTCAGTTCGGCACCACCCTTGGCGCCGTCGGCCAGGGAGGTAGCGCTGGCCGGGAGCACCGCTGGCAAGGAAAGTGCCACGGTGCATTGGTGTTTAAGCCAACCTCCCCTGCCGGAGTACGGAGGGGATGAACGCGGGGCTAGTTAGTACGTTACGTGCGCTGGTTTTCAGACCTTTCAATATCTATCACTTGCGACGAATCATCTTGCCTGCTCTTGAAAAGGGCCAATAGTCGAGTAATTTTCGGTCAATAAACAACGTATTTTATGCACTCCACACTTCGTTCACACGCGCCAAACGTCCACGGACACCGACATCTCGCGCGCTCCCCAGGTCGGAATCTCAAGTGGTCCCCGGGGAGGGTCGGAGTGCATCCCCACAGGAAAGCCCACTCATGGTTGCATTTCAATCACATTTTGGTGTGCATTCGCCGTGACCGTCACCTCGCTCCCTTGTTGCTGCCCCTGGAGTATTTCTCTTTCATTTACAGGTGGAAATCTGCTCTAACTTCGTCGTGATGAGTGGGGGGTACGCCGAACCATGACCTTTCTCTCCGATTTCGCAAGGGAAAAAACAAATTCAGCTTGTGATACTGATGCCCACTGGGATGCATCAAAGCTCGCAAGGGAATAGTCTAGGTGAAGTCGTCAATTTGTGCAGATCGGTACTGCTAAGGGTGTGTGGGGTTCTACGTATATGAGTGCAAAATATAAAGATCCAGACGCGCAGCCTGGGTGATGGAACTCCAGCAAGAGCTGAGCGTATTACGTGAAGACCCCATACGCATCGGACTCCAGGAGCTCGGAACCAAGTACGTGCAAATCAGGAGGAGCCACAAGTTAACTCCCTGTTGCTGTGTGTACAGGCACACCTCATCACTATCACCGCCGCCGCTAGCGCTTACAAGGCTCACGAGCCCGTGTCTCCTTACTTCCGCGACTCTGCTATATAGCCATCCTCATGTACGTTGTGTTATGGACGCCCCCCTTCCCGCGCAGCGTCAGGTATGTGTCGAAAACAAGGGGCAATCACGAATAGTGTCAGTGCAGAACGTGGCATCGCCTCAAGGAGCGATCATGTTGTTGTTGGCATGTTGACACTCTCCCGCGTCGAACGCGTTCGCATTGTCAAAATGAGCCTCTCTACTGTCTTAGTCCCCGACCTTTAGCGCAAAAGCACGCAGCTTGGTGAGGCACTAAAGCTGGATTGCATGCGCATTTCGATAGTTCTCTCTCGGGTTTTCTTAGCCTGGCACTCTTGTTGCGAATGGATCTCGATCTTCCTATCCTCTGTCTCCGTGTCTCTCCCTATCCGTGTTTCTGTCAATCCACTGGTTGTTGCTGCCAATATCATTCACGAGCATTTTACCGAAGAGAGAGCCAGCGCGCGAAAGGGAGTCCATCGCACACGCAACCGATTATTTAGCTCCAAGCACTCCGTTCTACAACGCTCTGGCTCCTCCCGTTTGTCTAGACGTGAGAAGTGTGCTACTTCATTTTACACTTAGACTACCACAGCACGGGCGACCACTTACGAACCGCTTGTTTTGCGTGGGGCTCGACGCTTGTTGGTTGCCTCAAACCGACCACATGTGTTCACATGTCTCAAACTCGTTTTAGAGCAGGCATCCACCTATGTGGGATACACGGAGTTCCCAAGGGTGCACCAATATTTTTTCTTCGACACCAGTATACCCACTTTCATATTTGGGACATTTTTGGGAGGGGGGGGGGGTACGACGCGA